GAAAATCTACAAAATGACGCTAACCAATTTTTTTCGATGATTGGTCGTTGGTAATAAACCAATCATCAATTGTGAGATTTCAACCAATTCCCAACACTAATCTTTTGTATAGTTGACATTTAACTTTCTAATAAAATACGGAAAGCAAAGAGGCGCAGAAATCTGAGTTGTTCCTTAAAAAATCGATTGCTATAGATACCAAGGAAAATCTCTGAGCGTATACGGGCGAATCTTTTGAACAATATATTTCTGATTTGTAAAACCAATATGTATAAAGAGAAAGAAACGACAAAGTCCTTTCCACATCCGTTAGAAATATTCCATTGTACCATTCTGACTATATGCTGAGTAGTTGTATGTTTGGCGCCGCAGTCAGCAGTACTACACCTGTACGACGTGTAAACAGGTAAACATTGACATTTGACACATTCATCCTGGCACGATGCTAGTGATTAACCAGTCAACGCATTATGGTGTTGCTCCTCAGATCCATGGGTGTCGTAACTCAATTGATCGTTTCTCTGAGAAAGTGTAATCTCAAATAAGACATTTGTTACATTTGACCACTTTCTTCATAGCTTTCGGCCGTGGGAGCCGTGCCAGTTTATATTCATCAGAGTGGTACACAAAGTCTGTGGTCTAGACTACCATTGTGTCTTGAACATTGTTCTGTTGCCCAGGTGCATGTTACGTGTAACACATCCATCACATCAAACCTGAACTTGTAACCCCATCTTAGATTAAATAATTACTCCGATACGAGAAATACTAAATCTGGACCACTGACTGCCCTCTGGAGCGAGGATGAATGACATAATTTGTGTATTCTATGTGCTGACACAAATTATACCTGGAATCAGGGATAATCTACAACAGGGATAGGTCACTCGCTTGCTTTATTTACCATTTGTACTAATTAGCGTGTGCCTCGTCATGCTCCAACGCACACAGTGACTTGGTTCGTTCCCAGCGCAACTTCGGCAGCGTTTAACAGTACTTCAGCCAGTTTATTGTATCAGTTGGAATTTTACAATGAATGAATGAATTATAGCAAGAAATAAGAGCAAGAATTATGTGTGAATGAAATAAATAAAGAAAAAGAACAAAAGAAAGAAATACATATGTGAATGAATGAAAGAATAAATTATACACCACGGCCATCCCTCCTCAAACATGTTAACGAACGCAAAACTATCGCTAGAACACATGTGTTAACATCAGCTGTCCTTTTTTAAAAAATCTATTTTGAGACATCTTTTACATTAGTAATTAATTCAGATATCTTATTGCATGTGTGGAATGGCATGGGCATTGACAAAGTGTCAACTGACACTGTCACACCCCTCAAAAACAGAAAGTTTAAACTATCACAAAGCGTTGTAAACACCTTTACAGTTTTGTCAAATATTAAGATCAACAAGAAAGAAAGAAGTTTCAGAACTATAAAACTCAAGCATCACAAGCATCAATGGCGGATCAGAATAGGTCGGCGATATGTCATATTTTTCACACACAACAGATACACCCGAACAATTTTTCTAAAATTATAAAACTATCACTGTTACTTGCAAACACCTTTCACCTGATGGTATATTCCCCTCATAAAAATTAAAGGTGTATGTGAAAGAAGTTTTTAGAACAATAACTAGAAACACTCAACCAACCCCTGTAGTATTTCAATGTCGGATCAGATCAGATCGGCTATATGTCACACTTTTCACACACCTCAAATACACCCTAACATTTTCTTTAAAGTTATAAAACTATCACTATTACTTGTAAATACCTTTCAACTAAAAGTATATTTCCCTTCTAAAAATGTGAAAGAAGTTTTTAGCGATAGAATTTAGTCTTTCTTCGCTGTGTACCGAGAATTGAAGCCAGTGAGCTACAACATGCCGACTTGAAACTTTACTACAAATCTACTGTACTAATATTGACACTAATAACAATTGTTTGACTTAAATTGAAGTGACAGAATAGGTAACTTATCTTCTACATGTAGGTTTTCAGTTGTCACAACACTCAGCGAATGTAATCAGCTGTTGAAAATAAACCGGGTTCAATCTTAAAAACTAAGCTGCCGCCATATTGGCTACACTAGTCACGTGACGAGCCGAGGCATACGCTAAGGTGCTTTTCGAGGAGTGACCACTCCCCGTTATATAGTCTCCCTGCTGGAATGAATTCTGATATGGAGTGATGGATCGTATTACTAGGTGTAGGGTTAAACCGTGGAACAAGGCTGACAACAATGGCGAAGTGACTGTTGTATTACGTGTAATATATTTGCCTGAAAAATAAGGGTCGATGCTGTTTTGAGCTTAAGAGCCGAACTTCATTGCTGCAAAATACTAGAGAAAATATAAACATATTTACTTTAAAGGTTTCTTTTTTTATACCTCGCCAGAACAAAGTATGGTGAGGGACATAGAAACATTTTCCGTCCCTCAAACGAGGGTAGTGATCGTTTCCAGAACATTACTCTGAATGGTTCGTATTTCTCTGTATTTGGTAAGGATTGAACGGGTACGGTTCCCTGTTGATGTTTACCGAGGTTAAGTAATCAGTCAATACGTACAGACTATGCCTCAACGTTATTAAAGAGTGCATCAATATGTACCATTATTTTTTAATTAAAACCTTGGGCATGCCAGAAACGTGTGGTAGCGGGCTCGAATCCCGGTCTGTATATGTCAACACCATATGTGCTCTATGGTTTCACTATTTGGTAAACGCCTGAAATCTGCATTATTGAGGGCTAACTCTTTTGCTGGCTGGTTTCCGGTTAACTTTTGCTGGCTGATTTCCGGTTAACTTTTGCTGGCTGATTTCCGGTTAACTTTTGCTGGTTGATATCCGGTTAACTTTTGCTGTCTGATTTCCGGTTAACTTTTGCTGGCTGATATCCGGTTAACTTTTTAAATTCAGCTTGGGAATCAACATTCTGTGTTGTGAGAACCGCTAGGTTATAGATAACAACTAGTACGTAGATGATGACGTCAGATTACAGAAAACCTGACAAATAGAACACAGGTAATCAGCTAAAATGTACAATAAGGATTAAAAACTATTGTTCCATTAGATTTTCATAGGCAGGCAGGATTTAGTACCCTTTGTGGGGCTTGATGGGTAGCCTAGTGGTTAAAGCGAAGACCCGGGTTCGATTCCCCTACATGGAATACGGATATTAGCAGCGTTCGAAATATCTGCCTGCCCGACCGCCCGCGACGGGTTATTTTCAACACGGACTGACAGATTCTCAAATTCACCTGCCCTACGGTCGGGTTAAAATTTGGACATTGATATGAAGATATACTTCATTTCATAAGTTTAGACTCACTAGTGTTAATATAGCCGCTTACTTCAGTCAACTGTTCTCAACTACATTTTGCAAAATATCCCATACTGTTTACTGTCATGGGTTCCATAACTGATACAAATCAGTGAAAATTGGCGAATTCTTCACAAAACCTTACACCATAACGCAGCTGTTCACATGCACGATATTTGCACATGCTTTTCAGCAATTTGATGCATGATCCTCGTACAATTCATCTGCATAAGGTTTGCAGTTGGTTCCCCCAAGTTAGTGGAGACATCAATCTTAGGTGTAACCATATATATAGACATAGCATACAGTGAGTGTTTTAAGTGAGACTAAACTTTTGAAAGGAAGTATATTTTGTGGGCAGGTAAGTTTTCGTCAGGGCTGGCAAGTTTTACATCTAACCAGCCCTGTGGTCTGGCTGAAATGTTTGGGAGTTTAATACTCTGATATTAGCGTGGCGGGTGATACTGTGGGAAGGGCAACAAATGAAGATGAATTCTGTGCATTTTTCGTACGTAATTAATATGCTGATTTTATCCCCTGATTGCCAAATCTGACTTTGGCGTAATCTGGTCTTGTCGGTTGGGCTTGGGCTGAAGTGAGGTGGAGATTGTCCTCTTGACAATCTTGGAAGGTTGCTACTAAAGATGTGAAGAGATGCTGTAGGCGATGGTCATTGTGTTCAGGTGTTTTGGTACGTGCGATCTGTGTGGAGATGATGTCGGATTTGGCCAGCAACAGTCGGCTTCCTATCTAAGGTAGTTTCCATCTTTTGCTTGGGTCTCGGGGTACAAAAACGTCTTGGAAGAGGAGTTCTCGGTCATTCTCTTTCTCCATGATGGACGTGACTCGCAAGAATAGTGGGGCCAACGTCTTTTCTAAAATCACTAATGGCCTCACCTTCCTGTACCAGCAAACAAACAAGTTAAACAATGTCCATAACCCATTTCAGGATAAACAGTCAAGGCGAGGGTTCTATTAGATAAATCCCATTAGTCAATATTATATATGATTTTCTTTTTAATTAAACCCTTATGCAATTCGGGCCTTTTACACGATGTCCATATTAACAGATATCTCAGTTCACCGAAACACTACCTGTTATTACGCATTTATTCCTAAGAAGCCATTAACTCAACGCGACATGTTAATTAAGATGCACCTGGCTGCTTGGTCACACAGTTTCGTTTTCCTCCGATTTTTCTAATACCAATTACTTTTGTTTCTGATTGACACAATGACGTTGTCAGCTCTTCAGTAATTAATTGTGAAGAAAATCCAGAAACCCTGTAATGATATCTTTCATATGCTTTTGCACCCTTACTTAATGTGTCACGTTAATTTTAGATTATATGTACAAGTCCGTTCTGGCAAACCATGACATTATACCCAGGGTGGCATTATAACCAGGGTGCACTGTAATAGATATTTCGTAATCGGGGTTTCAAGTGTGAAACGTTATAAGGTCCGCGAAATATCCTTACATCCTTTATTTACATCTGTTCAGCCAATCATTGATAAAATACTTTCAGAAGCAATGAAATGGGTGTGTGTATGGCTGTATGTATGTATGTATGTATGTATGCTGTATATTAAAAAACAGCCTTTATTCACGAGGAACAGATAATCCATAAATCGTTGTAACAAACATACAAACATAAAACATTGCTACAATGAATATACTTTATTTCAATATGACCAAGCCTGTCCAAAGAAAATACAATGTAGAAAATAGTTTACCTGCAATTGTACAATCGAAAATATTAATGTAAAAGACATACGAACTAATAATATGTACATAACTGTAAAGTAGAATATAATGTATTATACAGTCTGTCAGGAGACGGTTGAGTGTCTATAGTGACATATTTGGCTAGTTATTCAACATATCATGCTAACATTAGGTTACATTGTTGCTGTCCGCATTTGCCTTGCCTCACATAGTCATTTCCTCATAGTTTACATTGGTAAACGCTGACGATTCCTGAGTTCTGTCGCTACCAATGACGAGGGTGTTAGCGTAAATCTGACCACGTGACTTCCGGTTCCGGTTTGGCATGCCCCCAATCAATTCGTGATTCTCGTAGTTCCTTCGGCTCTCTTCGTCCTGGAAATCAGAACCCCAGCTGAACACACTGGCAGCATCTCTGATCGCCCGTGATGCTTCGTCTCTTTCGAGTCGACGAAGATGTATTCGAGGGTCTTCGGATTGGCAGAAATCCGCTGATGCCTCGACGTCAATGACTTTCTCAGACCTCCTGTAGGAAACAGAGTTTTCGTTAAACGTTGCAGGTTCGTGTTAATAATGTCGGTTAAAAATCTTGGTGACCTTGGTTTCATTGTACCCGGAGGTTACAATATGGTCAGTCGAGTATATATACCATTAAAAAAAAGTAGGGGATATTCCATTTTGCGAGCATACCACTGGCCAATGTCAATGCATATGAGAAAAAGTAATATATATCCATACAGATGAAACATTTCCAAGGGAATGGAATAAATTGTCATATATTTCCTTAATTTCTCTTCATCCTCCTTGGATTCATCATTTGCATTTTATTAATCTTGTAAATCCAATATCCCCCACATTTTGTTTGAATGGTATATTTTAAACCCCCGTGATAGAGCTGCTTGTGGTGGTTACGGCGTAAAACAGCATTCATTTACTGAAACTAAATATCAAAACATTGGTAGTATGACCCACCCCTAAGTAGGTAATATTTTTGTTGACACTCCTCTGACAAGCACCTCACCCTTACTTGGACATGATAACAAATATCGATCACCGGCCGATTACAATTACATCTTTATTCGTGACGACTTCACACTGTTTTTATTATCATATAACATCATGTCTTCAGAGACTATTTGGACACTTAAAAATTCTTAATAATATTTATTCAAGAAGTTTAAAAAGAACTAAATTCCGGTCCATGAAATTAGCAACATGATATGGCAACATGATACTTTAAACTTGTCTTGTCTGAAACAGGTAAACAATTGATTCAACACGACTCCGAGTCTTTTTCTTTTCTCACCTCATCGCCAGGCAGGGAAACGACAAGTTCCATCTTTTAACGTATTGTGACCAGACCGTTTACGTGTCGCTGATCGTTCCTAGTTCTGTCAGGTATAAACTAGGGTGCCGTTGTACAAAGCGATCTTATCGCTAAGGTGACCGTAACTCCGATACCTTAACATAGACTTAAGGTAGTCTTAGCTCTAAGGTTGTTTTGTCCAACGTCGCCCTGTACTTTGCCGAGGCCCACGGCGTAAAACAACATGCAGTGAATATTGTCAATGCTCACCGCTTCCGTACGAAGTGCCAGACACACACAACGAGGCTGAGGAGAAGGATAACCCCGACTATTGAGGCGGAGATAATGGCAATTTTAACCACATATGGCATAAGATGTCCATCTGCACGAAGGAAAGTGAAGAGATAACATCAGCACACAGCGGAGAATGGACGTCACATATTGTACTTATAGAAGGAAGTGAAACCGGGCGTTGGGCATGACGAACAAACGCTTTAACCAATAGTTGCTAGTTTTCTCATACGAAAACCTGGTTTCGATTGCACCAATGGTACAATGCGTGGCCCTTCCGCCCTGAAAACAGTAAAACTAACTCCATGAAATCTATTGGAAATGAGAAGCAATAACATTGAACAAAAGCTCTGATAAACACTCCCCACCTCCCCTAACCTAAAAACCCACCCACGCATACACAGTTGAGCGCACACACAGATGAGCACACACACACACACACACACACACAAACACACACACACACACACAAACACACACACACACACACACATTAAATATAACATTGATAACATTTTCATTAGTAATGTACAAGTAATGAAATATGAAACATCGGTTTCTTTGGATTCGGGATCGAGATAATTAAAAGTGACAACGCTGACACTGACACCGTTGCAAGCATTGGTTATCTACATTGCTAAAAGCTAAGTCAATCCCATTATACTAAATATATTCCCACGTTGACAACATGAATCACTGCTGCATGAGACACAAAACACTGTACCTTCTGCGCAGTTCGCCCCAGCTGTGTCAGTGCAACTACTTCCGGTACTTATTGGCGTGGACATCCGGTTTGCTTGAGCTGTAAGAGAGAACGGGAGTCAGGGAAGACAACAATCACAGAGGGGAATTACATGACAGTAAAAGCATCGTTCCCTGTTGACAGCTGTATGTCTAGGTGTGGATGTACATCATACACTCGGACGCTGCACATAAGATACATGCACGAAGATGACCTCAGCTTATGGAAACTAAATTCACGATTGATTGTTTTGGAACACAAGTCAAGGAAACGTATTTTAATTATATATATGAAAATGTGAAAGAAGGAAATGTTAATAAACAATAATAACACGGTTTCATGTTGATGATCAGATTTGAAAATACATTTTCTATATATACTCCGCCTGTCATGAGTTTAGATATTCCGGGTTATATCATCATCAACCAGTTGATATAAACACAGATGGGACTATTGGTTATATCATCATCGAGTGGATATAAACACAGATGGGACTATGGGTTATATCATCATCAACGAGTGGATATAAACACAGATGGGACTATGGGTTATATCATCTCCAACAGGTGGATATAAACACAAATGGGACAATGGGTTGTATCACCATCAACCAGTTGATATATACACAGACGTGACTATGGGTTACATCATCTCTAGCAAGTGGATATAAGCACAGACGTGACTATGGGTAATGTCATCTCTAACAGGTGGATATAAGCACAGACGTGACTATGGGTTATATCATCTCTAGCAGGTGGATATAAGCACAGACGTGACTATGGGTAATATCATCTCTAGCAGGTGGATATAAGCACAGACGTGACTATGGGTAATCATCATCTCTAGCAGGTGGATATAAAGCACAGACGTGACTATGGGTTATATCATCTCTAACAAGTGGATATAAGCACAGACGTGACTATGGGTTATATCATCTCTAGCAAGTGGATATAAGCACAGACGTGACTATGGGTAATAGTGACTATGGGTTATATCATCTCTAGCAAGTGGATATAAGCACAGACGTGACTATGGGTTATATCATCTCTAGCAAGTGGATATAAACACAGACGTGACTATGGGTTATATCATCTCTAGCAAGTGGATATAAGCACAGACGTGACAGAATGGGTTATATCATCTCTAGCAGGTGGATATAAGCACAGACGTGACTATGGGTAGCAAGTGGATATATCGTCAATGGGTAGCATCTCTAGGTGGATATAAGCACAGACGTGACTATGGGTGGGTAGCAGGTGGATATACACAGACGTGACATGGGTTATATCATCTCTAGTGGATATAAGCACAGACGTGACAATGGGTTACATCATCTCTAGCAAGTGGATATAAGCACAGACGTGACTATGGGTTATATCATCTCTAGCAAGTGGATATAAACACAGACGTGACTATGGGTTATATCATCTCTAGCAAGTGGATATAAGCACAGACGTGACTATGGGTAATATCATCTCTAACAGGTGGATATAAGCACAGACGTGACAATGGGTGACATCATCTCTAACAGGTGGATATAAGCACAGACGTGACTATGGGTTATATCATCTCTAGCAGGTGGATATAAGCACAGACGTGACAATGGGTTATATCATCTCTAGCAGGTGGATATAAGCACAGACGTGACAATGGGTTACATCATCTCTAGCAGGTGGATATAAGCACAGACGTGACAATGGGTTATATCATCTCTAGCAAGTGGATATAAGCACAGACGTGACTATGGGTTATATCATCTCTAGCAGGTGGATATAAGCACAGACGTGACAATGGGTAATATCATCTCTAACAGGTGGATATAAGCACAGACGTGACTATGGGTTACATCATCTCTAACAGGTGGATATAAACACAGACGTGACTATGGGTTACATCATCTCTAGCAGGTGGATATAAACACAGACGTGACTATGGGTTACATCATCTCTAGCAGGTGGATATAAACACAGACGTGACTATGGGTAATATCATCTCTAGCAGGTGGATATAAACACAGACGTGACTATGGGTTATATCATCTCTAGCAGGTGGATATAAGCACAGACGTGACTATGGGTTATATCATCTCTAGCAGGTGGATATAAACACAGACGTGACTATGGGTAATATCATCTCTAACAGGTGGATATAAGCACAGACGTGACTATGGGTTATATCATCTCTAGCAGGTGGATATAAACACAGACGTGACTATGGGTTATATCATCTCTAGCAGGTGGATATAAACACAGACGTGACAATGGGTTATATCATCTCTAGCAGGTGGATATAAACACAGATGGGACCATGGGTAATATCAGCTCTAACAGGTGGATATAAGCACAGACGTGACAATGGGTTACATCTTCTCTAGCAGGTGGATATAAACACAGACGTGACTATGGGTAATATCAGCTCTAACAGGTGGATATAAGCACAGACGTGACAATGGGTTACATCTTCTCTAGCAGGTGGATATAAACACAGACGTGACTATGGGTAATATCATCTCTAACAGGTGGATATAAGCACAGACGTGACAATGGGTTACATCATCTCTAGCAGGTGGATATAAGCACAGACGTGACTATGGGTAATATCATCTCTAACAGGTGGATATAAACACAGACGTGACTATGGGTAATATCATCTCTAACAGGTGGATATAAACACAGACGTGACTATGGGTAATATCAGCTCTAACAGGTGGATATAAACACAGACGTGACTATGGGTAATATCATCTCTAACAGGTGGATATAAACACAGACGTGACTATGGGTAATATCATCTCTAGCAGGTGGATATAAACACAGACGTGACTATGGGTAATATCAGCTCTAACAGGTGGATATAAGCACAGACGTGACAATGGGTTACATCATCTCTAGCAGGTGGATATAAACACAGATGGGACCATGGGTGATATCATCATCAACGAGTGGATATAAACACAGGTGGGATCATGGGTTGTATAATCTTTAAAAGGTACATATAAACACAGGTGGGTTATATCATCTCTAACCGGTTGATATAAACACAGATGGGACCGTGAGTTATAAAATCTCTAATAAATTGACCGGCAAAAGAAAGTATACAAGGTTTTCAAGAGATCATTACCTTTGTCCTAGACTACCTGGACACACAAAACATAATGCAGTGGTGTTAACAACATCTGTCCTCAACCTGAGCTAAACATCACACGCATACCACAGAAACACGTGGCGTCAGACACAACTTCACTGGGGGTCCTGAAAACCAGTGTTCAGTCACATGGAGGATAAGCAGGTACTGAGTAACACACAATAAATGTTCACTACCATCACTTTAGTATTCTGTATGTCCACCCCTTGCATCAATACAGGCACGCACTCTCCTTCTAGCCGAAGACGACAGACGCCGGACAAGTCACGTGGTATGCGACGCCATTCGTCCTAGAGGGTTTGTGCAAGTTGCTGTCTATTCTGTGGTGGGCTAGGGCGTTTCCGCACGCGTCTGTCTAGTGCATCCCACATGTGCTCGATCGGGGACATGTCTGGAGAACGTGCTGGCCACTGTAGAACGTTCACGTTGTTCCTCTCGTCGCTGCCAACGACGAACAACTCGGGCCCAACGCTATCTGTGACGTCTGTGTTCAGGGGTCAACACATGTCATTTGAAGGGTCTGTAGGCTCTGATACCTGCTGTCCGAAGACGTCTATCCACCGTGTATCGACTGACGCGGTGATCAAGGGAATTCGCCGCTGATGACGTTACCGTCAGAAAACGGTTTCTCAGGTGTAACGTCCTCAAATGTCGGTCTTCAGCTGGTGTTGTTACTCGCGGTCTCGAATTTTTGGTCTGTTCTGTGTCTGGCCCGTTTGCCTGTAACGTTGCAGCAGTCTAGAGATGGCTACTCGGGTGCAGCCGAAGGTTCTTGCAACGTTGGCGTGTGTCGACCCTATCTGGAGCATACCTATAGCCATCTTACGTTCAACTGCTGATAGTCGTGGTGGTCTTTTTCAAACTGCATGTGTAACCTGTCCGCACACTAAATTTTATACCCTTAGTGCATGTGGAACACTGACAGAGGCCCAAAATCATGGCTTATACAATTTACCACTTCGACGTTTTATTCACGACGTGCACGTGCATTTCACTGCAGGTATGAAATTGCTACGTTGGGGCGACATGTTTCAGTGTATAATTTACCTGCAAACTATTTCTTTAAAATTTGAGAAATGGTAACTTTTGGTATACTTCCTTTTGCCGGTCAGTTTAGGTAGATATAAACGTACTGGAACCATTGGTCATATGATCACAGGACACAAACACCAAAGTGACCTTTGGTTATATTTTAAACCATTTCGTTTATAACATTGAGGAAATAGCCACAAGCTTTGGGCGAGGAGTTGTAAATTTGTATACAAGTAGAAATAAACAGATAGTTTGGGGCGATGGGTTATAACGAGGGTGTGCATGAGTGTGGTTTTACGCCGATTTACGCACAGTGGTTAAAGCGTTCGCTCGTCACGCCCAAGACCCGGGTTCGATTCCCCAACATGGGTACAATGTGTGAAGCCCATTTCTGGTGTCCCCCGCCGTGATGTTGCTGGAATATTGCTAAAAGCGGCGTAAAACTAAACTCACTCACTCACCCCAACCGCCCCGTGGGTTATAACATTGACGTCACCCAGATACTAAGTACAGACAAGAATCTAATCCGGCCAAGTATAAACATGTAACCTGACATAGACATTACTTCATTTATTTAGTAAATTACACATTTTGTGACCATAAAGTGACTATATAGCAGGTTTAAATCCAGACCTGCCACGAATCTTACCTGATAGTGTTGTGGTTCCAGTTGAAGGCAAACACAAGGTAATTGCGAGCACAGAATATATGACATATTGTGTCATGACAGATGTACAGTGTATCTATACACTGATGTCCATGACTAATGAAGATCGCCGCTTTGGACATGTAGCGTGAGACGGAAACAAGACGGCTCTGCAGCATGGTTGCATTTTGTTGAATGTTAACTTTCAAAAGCACTCTTTCCAAACAATACAACGGCAATTATAAGTCAGGCTGTTTCTGGTTTCAGTTCTACTGCCTCCTAAGCACGACTTAAAGCATGTGTAACAGGAAGAACCTAGATATGTTAACAAAAGTTTGAAGACTGTGCTTAAACTGTAATGATCACACTGAAAAGAATGTGTTTTTAGTCTTATGTCAGCTATATGCTGATCTTCGTTTTATCATGATCTTGGTCTTGATTGTTTTCATTTATGATGTGTATTTTAAAAATACAACACAGATACAAATGTCATATGGGTAGGCCACGGATATATTATCTGTATATATCATTCAGTGTTGTACGATCTTTCACAACTCTATGTGGTACGGGGCGGTGGGGTGGCCTAGTGGTTAAAGCGTTCGCTCATCACGCCGAAGACCCGGGTTCGATTCCCCACATGGATACAATGTGTGAAGGTCATTTCTGGTGTTCCCCGCCGCGAAATAACTGGAATATTGCTAAAGGAGGCGTAAAACCATACTCACTCACTGTTTGGTACATCATTATTTGTATATAGTATCCCCAATTTCAACATGCCTTTTTCGCAATGAAGAATGTAACAGTATCTGCCTCTGCTTCTGTAAACAGTTTAGGGGCAACAATCAATAGTGGAAACAATAGCCAAAACGCACCCAAAGGAAGTAACGTTCCGGTAATGTTTGCTTCCTAGTTCGAGGTCTCTCTTGACCTAACATTGTTTCTCCGAAATAGACACAGTTACGACATTAATAGGTATTAACAGAAAGGCTTAAAATAAACCTTACATATTTCAAGAAACATTATTTAAATAAATCCATTAGCTTTAACTGTGGCTACTGTAGAAAATAGGGGAATTCTTTTTGTATATCCAACCGACCTCAGAAACATTTCCGCCATTGTAAGAGGATATAGTTACTTCCATGTGGAAGTGTCTTCCCAAGTTTAACCCTACCTATACTCGGTCACACTAACACACGAGGGAGAACAATCCGGTCAAATAACAACCAAATGCTACATTTCCGTTCTATACATAAGGGGCGGTGGGGTAGCATTTGCTCGTCACGCCGAAGACCCAGGTTCGATTCCCCACATGGGTACAATGTGTGAAGCCCATTTCTGGTGTCCCCGCCAGCCGTAAAGCCATACTCACTCACTCACTTCTATTAATGATGGTATAGTATCGCCACCTTAATACAAGTAGACTATCGTTATCATTATGTCAATAAGTAACCGAGATTTGCAGCTGTGGTATCACAGTTGTCCGTTCTGTTCATGACCGTCCTGGTATGATCCCAGTATTTTAACTGTAATTCATCAACCATGATAGATACACGCATCTTAACAAGGCCTTTAAATATTTTGCAGGATATTTAAATTTCACAAAAGAATTATTTGCTAAGACCCGGTCGCTTCGGTTCATCTTGTGGAAACAACAAATCGTGGCACCTTGACTCCACTGCCACCACACGGACGTTTCCGTAAAGTGTCGATAAGACGCGAATGAAGCGTATGCATACAATGGGAGGTAACTCTGGACGCTTTAATCTCCCGCGTCCCATTCAACAAACCTCGGTAGCTACAGTGCTCTTTCTTCTTTGACACAGGTTCACATTACTTTACGAGGAGTACAATCCCCACACTTGTTCACATCTGACGTAAATCAAAAGCAATATATCGTTTTTATTCGTTTCAACAAAGCTAGTAGATGAATGCACTATCGTGTCACTAGATCATCGGGTACACCGATCACGTGATTATCTGGTTTGTTTACATGCCGCCGTCACCACTGTGCAGCGTCAGGTGAGTGACTTTAGTTTTACGCCGCACTCAGCAATATTCCAGCTATATGGCGGCGGTCTGTAAATCAAGTCTGGACCAGACAATCCAGTGATCAACAGCATGAGCATCGATCTACGCAATTGGTAACCGATGACATGTGTCAACCAAGTCAGCGAGCCTGACCACCCGATCCCGTTGCTTACGACAAACATGGGTTACTGAAGATCAATTCTAACCCGGATCTTCACGTGTCGCAGCGTCGGATAAGAGATACTATTTTGAGTGGGTGGTGGGTTAAAGTAGTTTTGTAATGTTTTGTTTGTTAATTGTGCCCTATTGTGCCAAATGGAGTCTAACTGAAGACTGGTTATTCCCTTGCATTAACGTTAAGTATTTGTTTCAAAAGGTCAAATCAGCAGTATGACTTCAGGGCAGGCTTTACATGTTTATATGCCAATGCCGACCCGGGTTAGAACTGGTATTCAGCAACCCATACGTTTGTCTGACTAACGGGATCGAGTGATCCAACGCAAGGATTTGGTTGATGCGTGTCATTCTATCCAAATTGTGTTGATCGATGCTCATGATGTCACTCACTGGATTGTCACAGATCCCCGTCTTATAAGCGGAGTGCGTCAACAAAGAAATAAACACGTTTCGCTGAAGGATTTTGGTTGATACAGCCACACAGAACTTTTGGTTGAACTCCCTACACGTGAAAACTGGATTTGAAAAATTCGTGCATCTTTAAATCAAAACGAAACCTGAAATATCCTAAACACATTCAAACCTCATGTACAAATATGATCTCACGAATTATCATTAAAATACATTTCATTAACACACGTATCTTCAATGCGATAAGTGTCTACATCCCGAAAAAAATATTGAGATATATGACTAAAACATTATCGTTTGTGGCCCTACATAGTTCCCTTCAGAAACGGTGTAGTTTATATATTAGGAATATGTTAAATTGGATTTCTAGTATAAACAACCTTGACAAGCTATCAAGTGCTTGGTTTCATTCAAGAGAGACAACTCCGTTAATCCTTTTCATTAGTTTGTAAAGAGTTATCCCCTTTGTTTACTTGCTAGCAGACGACATTTTCAGTGATCCTCAGTATGGATGATTTAGAGAAGAGGAAGTTGATTTTAGAGTATTATAACAAGGACATCAGATCAGCTAAAAAGTGATTTCAAGTAGAACAGGCATCCCTTTGTTCACTGTTTATCGTGTTTTGAAAAATATTGCAAATGGATATGGCATTGAGCACCAGGGAGGCGCAGGTAGGCCCAGAAAATTGACTGTCGGTGACAGGAGGCGGTATTCTTGTTTCTAAAAAACAAACGAAGGAGTTTAGAAAACTTAAGGCTGGATATGATTGATAGAGGAACTGTGGCTGTCTGTAAGGAGACAATTAGAACTGAGATGTCGAGGAATTCCGTCACCGATCATGAAACCTGAACAAAAGGAGCGAAGGTTGAACTGATGCTTACAGCATAGGAATTTTTACTGGGACAATGTGATTTTCTCAGATGAAAGTTCTGTGTGGCTGTTTCCTAATACACTGAAATTCTGGACCAAACAAACTGAAAAACCTTTGTATCAGCGCCCAAAGTACAGTCCGAAATTTAACGTGTGGGTGGCATATCTGTGTTAGGGGCAACGCCCTCTGTGTATTATTGAAGGAATATGAACAGTGAGCGGTACACAGATATTCTCGAGGGACATTTACTTCCATCTTCTGACGTGTTCTATGGAAATTTTTGGATTTTCCAGCAGGACAACGACCCAAAACATCCCAACACATTCAAACCTCATGTACAAATATGATCTCACGAATTATCATTAAAATACATTTCATTAACACACGTATCTTCAACGCGATAAGTATCTACATCCTGAAAAAAATATTGAGATATATGACTAAAACTTATCGTTTTCGGCCCTTCATAGTTCCCTTCAGAAACGGTGTAGTTTATATATACTGGCCATTACATAAAGAAACTGTGTACACAGTAAATATAAAGCATATGCATAAAATAAAGGTGTGAACATAGCAAGTATTGAGATAGGCAGACAGCATCTTTAAGGCGACGTGACGTCATTGATGGTGGCCTATGGACTTGCAATGTGTTACTGCACGTGCAGCCTGTGCAGCTGCACACAACATGTGAAACTCAGAAATTGCTGTCACTGTCGAAAGCTTGATCTTGGGTCATTCAAACGTTCACAAATTCACAATAAAAGTCACATGCACATCATGCCAAGATTGACATGTGCTCAACGTCACGAAGCCATTGGAATGGTTCGAGCAGGCATGAGCCAACAACAGGTGGCAGCACATTTCCAATGCCATCGTAACACGATATCTGCATTGGTCAGGCGTTAGGGAAACAGTAATGACGTCGCCGGCCACCCACGTTTTGGGCGTCCCCGAGTAACGACGCCAAGACAGGACAGATGGATTCGGGTGACTCATATCAGACACAGGTTCCAGACGGCAGTGACCACGTCCCAAACCATTCCCCAGGCCTTCATTTGGAAAATTTGGTAGCCTCTATGCGTCGTCGATGCACTGCTGTGCTTCACGCGCATGATGGTCATACCCGTTATTGACTTTGTGATTTCGACGTGTGACCCCCGACTCAATTTTGAACTTCTGACGTCATCGTTACGGATATTGTTCATGTTCTTTTGACATGTTGTTGAGGTCCGATACTTCAGCTTATAAAGTGTCTACATCATGTCGTCTTTTCTGTGTTGTATTCCAATTCTGAAGGACTTTTCTATGTGCACAGTTTCTTTATGTGGCTAGTTTAATATGTTTAATTGGATTTCTAGTATAAACAACCTTGACCAGCTATCAAGTGCTTGGTTTCATTCAAGAGAGATAACTCCGTTAATCCTTTTTCATTAGTTTGTGAAGAATTATCCCCCTTTGTTTACTTGCTAGCAGACGACATTTTCAGTGATCCTCAGTATGGATGATTTAGAGAAGAGGAAGTTGATTTTAGAGTATTATAACAAGGACATCAGATCAGCTAAAGTGATTTCAAGTAGAACAGGCATCCCTTTGTCCACTGTTTATCATGTTTTGAAAAATATTGCAAATGGATATGGCATTGAGCACCAGGGAGGCGCAGGTAGGCCCAGAAAATTGACTGTCGGTGACAGGAGGC